GAGGGAGAGAGAGAGAGGGAGGGAGGGAGAGAGAGGCCATGCACTGGAACAAAGAGGACTCTTTCTGACCCAAGCAGGGTTGGGGACAGAAGCAGTGACTGTGCGGCACTGGCTCCTCCTCGGTTTTAGGCACAGCATGATTCAGGAAGTTACCTACTCGTTGAACAGCAAAGCCTAAGTGGCCCAACCCTAGACCCCACTGCCCTCTCCTTAACTGGCAGTAGAGTGTGTTCTGAGAAGAGCATGAGGGTCCACGGTGAAGACAGGAGGAACTGAACAGGTAGTCTCTGGGTTCTCTACTCTGGGCACCAACCAGAGCCTACTTTGTTAAATTCTAAATAAGAAAAAAGATTATGCTGCTAAAGAACGTTAGCATTGAGAAAGTATTCTACTAAAACAGGTCTTGAAAGCACTGCCCGGCTGTCCAATCTGGCCCACCACATGTGTTTATAAATAAAGTTTTATTGTTCCACAGCAATGTTTACATAATTTATTATATGGCTACTTTTGCAAATGGCAAAGTCGAATAGTTGGAGCAGTCAGATCAGATACCCGGTCCCTCCATTCTCCTATCTCACCTGGCTTCCTGCAAATGCCTCTAACCTAGTATCTCTAGCAGCTGCCTTGAAAATCCATCGCTAGTAACTACAGCCTCAGTACAGGCTCCACAAACGTGAAGTCCATCAGGATCCCCCAGAAAAGTTGTTGGGCCACAGATGGGGAAGCCAAACCCCTGCAGTCTGGAATTTGGTTCTGGTGTCTGAGGCCAAGACCTGGAAATCTTCGTTTCCAGCCTCTACTTGGAGAGCTCCTGACTCTTCAGATCGATATTTCTGGAAACTTGCCAAAATACCAGACAAGACCATGAAATCTCTTCTTAAAGATCAAGGAAGCGATACAATTAGATAATAAGAACCCAGGAGGTCCAGCTGTTTCTCGTTTTTAGGATGGGCCCAACATCACCAGATAACAAGACCCTTCTAAAGGTCTAGATTTATGCCTTTTCCAGGACAAGTTACAATTCCAAGGGCTTTTTCTGCAACATAGCATCCCCCTGAGTGTGTAAAACTTTGCTGCTTATTCCATGGCTTTAGGGCTCCCGCCATCCAAGAGTGAACACTCTGCCCAATATTACTATCCGCTTGAGAGGCTCCCCAGCAACCCACCCTTTTCCTCAAAGACGAGTCACGTGGCACCCGCCAGTCAGCCTTTGTCGGGACACACCCTCAGCACAGTGTGCCGCACACAGGCGAGTTAACACTGCTAGCGAGGAGGAGGAGGAGGAGGAGGAGGGGTACAATGTCACCAAGTCAGTGAAGAGATAGAGGGACCAAGGATAAAGACCCTGGCCCCACACGCGGAGCAAAAGCCAGTTGAAGCCACCGGATGCTGCCACACCCAGCCTTGTATGGACAATCACAGACCTCTACTCAGCTACCTGTACACGCTGCGGACAAAGAAACTGAACTAACCGGAGGGGTTGGATCTTTAGAACGGCCCGGGGAGCTTCACTCCGCCGATGAGAAAGCACGGGCTCCAAGCACGACGTGGATGGTAGAAGACCTCACAAGTACCTGTTCCACAGAGGGGCTTTAAACTCGACTCTTCCAACCCCCGACCCCACTGGCTTTGAACGATGCCCCTCGGAGGCTTCTTCCTGGAAACTGTGGCTTTCTCTCTGGGGATCCTTGAGTTCCCTAAGTCCGTTGGTGCCCACATCCCACGGGGATGTCAGGAGGCCCAGGTAACGCTTGGCCCATACCTTACCCCGGTTGCTGTCCATCCTTAGCTCTTCAGCCTAGAAGGCTTATACGTGCCGAGACTCTCCTTAGTCTTCGGGGCTCGGAGACCAGCTCTTCCTCCTCTCACTAAGCTTGCATCTTGCGCTTTGGCCTGCAAACTCCGCTTTTAAGTACAAAGTGCTAATAAGATCCACCTTCCCCATCCAGGGCGAACCCGCCCAGGTGCTCCTTATTGCCTAAATCGCCTTTCTTTGCACCGTTTCGGAGAAATGGCTCAATGAATACCGCAGCCTGGAGCAGTGGTTCTCGCACTTGAAGGGTATGGCAGCACCCAGCAAGCTCATAAGACCCGAGAGCTCAGGTTCTTCGAAGGAAGCGAAGGCCTCCACCAGGTGATCCTACTACTTCCCAGCTGCTGAGAACTCCTGGGACAAGGGAGCCCCAGGGAAAGCACAGGAGCTTCCCATCTCTCCATCTCTGGGGAGGCTGGGATTCGAGAGCAGGTTGAAGTAGGTTAAGCCAGGCTAGGAGGGACAACTTGACAAGAAAGCCAGAGACAGAGCCCCAGGACGGCTGGGTCCACATCCCCCAGTCCCACCTGCCTGCGTGACCCTGAGACCCGCCCAGCCTTTCTGGTTTTCCCCTTGTCCTTGTTAAAGATGAAGGTGATGCTGTCTGCCTCCCCAAACAGGAGGATGTACCATCCTATGCTAACGTGGTAGGGGCGGGAGGAGCTGTCTGGTGCTGTGTGTGGTGGGCTGTCTGTCAGCTCTGCCCAGCCAGCTCCAGGTCATTTCCCCGAGGATCCCCAAACAAAGGTGAGGCCCAGAGCAGCCTTGGTCCTACAATACCCCTTTGTGACAGTTCGCAGACTTTAACGGATGCTTGTTTGAAACAGGTGCCTAGGCTCTGCTAAGGAATTCTGACTCTGGGTGGATAGCTGGGGCCATGAACCTAATTTTCTAAAAAAATACACAAGATGATTCTGGATTCCCCTCAGAAAGATTCCACACCAGGACCTCGCATATCTCCATCCTGCTCTGCACCAATGGCTCATCTTTGCTGTTTGTTTGTCTCTCATTCATTAAAAATAAAACCAAGGCCAGGCATTGTGGCCTTGAGATAACACCTGTTATCCCAGCTACTCAGGAGGCGGAGGCAGGAGGCTCACAAGATCAAGAGCAGCCTCAGCAACTTAGCAAGATCTGGTCTCAGGACAGCAATTTGAATGGGCCAGGGATTTACCTCAGTGGTTCCACTGCCTGCCTCGCAAGCGCAGTGGCCCTGAGTTCGATACAAAACTAAATATAAAACAATTTTAATAAATAGCTGATGTAGGGGATGTAGCTCAATGGCAGAGCTCTTGCCTAGCATGCATGAGGTCCTGGATTCAATCCCTAGGACTGGGGGGAAAGAAGCTAAAAACAGCCCACTGGGCACCTCTTAGGTACCAAGCCCTGTGTTATACCCCAGGGAACTCAAAATGAAGAAAAAAATCCCTGACGGCAAGATAAGCTTTCTGATGAGAAGGTCCATGCACATCTTTGCTTTGCATAAGGTGCTTCCTTATTTCTCCCCTGTAGAGGTAGCAAATTCAATACCTCCAGGCACACAACAGTCACAGATGTGCAGGGGGCAAAGAGGAAGACTGAGGAGGACACGCCGTCTCCTCCTATGTGCATTCAGTCCTGGCAAGCAACATGGCTTTGCCCCTTGATTTCAGCCCTGCGGCCACCAATCTGCGACTTCTGAATCCTCTTCCTTTAATGTGGCACAGAAGTCCTTGTGTGTGCGTGTGTGTGCGTGTTGGGACAGGTCTCCACATGTAGTTTGGACTGGTCCTGAACTCACTATGTACCCAGGCTGGCTGTGAAATCACAGCGATCCTCCTGTCTCAGCCTCTTGAGTGCTGGGATTGCAGGCGTGCACCACCACCGGCTTAATTGTTTTGCTTACAGCATGCAGAGAAGGGGATCTGGCCCATAGAGGAGCTCAGTAATGGCTGTAGTTTGGATCTGCATTGTGCCTGAAACACTCATGTGTTAAGGCTTGTTCCTGAGTGCTGCTATTTAACAGGTGGGGCCTTGGGGGTCACCATAGGTCATTAGGGGGCGCCCTGGAAGGGTGTTTTAGAGCCTGGGTCTCCTCCTTTTGGGTTTCCAGCTGTCATGAAGTGAGCCCTTCCACCTCGCCGTGTGCTCCCACTATGATGTGCAGAAGCAACAGGCCCAATCCATCTGCCACAGCCTGAAACTATGCGCCAAAATAAAGCTTTTCCTATTTATAAAGCTGATTACCTTAGGTATTTGTTACAGTAAGGGGACCCTGACTAACATCTGGGAACAAGTGAATAAATGCAGGAGTGGGTAGGGGGTGGACAGACGGACAGATGGATGGACGGACGGATGGATCCCATAATGCACTTCCCCAGGCCTGGGCCCCTCTGATCTGTAGGCTTCCCCAGTCTACACCTGCTGTAGTCCAAGGCACAGCGGGTTCTTGGTTCGTGTGTGTTGCATGCTCATTCCTAGCTCATATAGATTAGTGGCCAAAGATGAAAATAAAGGAATCAACCAACCCTAGGCACCTGGGGAATGTGAAAAGCAGAGTGAAGATTTTTCCGGAGAAAGAGTCTCCTTTTCCACAACTTTCCAAAGCTGGAAGTCTTGGTCCTGTGGGCCCCACCTGCGACCCAGCAGCTGTAACATGGATTTGCCAAGAGGGGTCGCTAAGCCCTCATTTTCTTGCCTAGTTTGAAAAACTGGGCAGCGGCTGCAATCTCCGGGAGGAAGAAGGCAGGGCGATGGCCGTCACCCTTCCCCACAGCGGCCAGTGCCCGATGGGGCGGTGTGGCTGCTGGAGGGCTGGACTCCAGCGTGCCTGACACCACACCCAGGGGAAGGGGCCTGCGACTCCAACCCCTGGTGGCTCCTAGCATCTCCTGGACTTCTGTTCTTGGGAGAGGCTGTGTGCTTTGGCTGGTGTCCCACAGCTGGGAAACATCCACGACAGGATTAGAATCCAGAGACAGCAAACACTGTTACTTCCTGCCCCTGATGCTGTTGGTGTCTCTGCCCCCAAAACAAAGTTACAAGTCTAGTGCCTGGCTTGGCCTGATTTAGAAAGCTGCTGGGTTCCGCCGTGGGGAGAGGTGGGAGGTGGAGAATCTTTGCTTCCTTCACTTCCAGGCCAGGGACTTTTAAGTGGTCACCGGCCACACATAGATTCACTCTGGAGAGCGGAGCTTGGCGGGCACAGAGGGGAAGGCGGTGGTGGGAAGAGGCCGCAGGTGGTGCCCTGACCCAGTGGGCAGAACCAGTGATGAACCCGAGGCCCAGAGAGACGCAGGTGTCTACCCAGGGGGACCCCAGCCTGTCCGTCCTTGTGGCTAGGACCTGGGGCTGTAAGGACGGGGCTCCTTGATGTGGGCTGACTGCAGCTTGTCTGAAGCCGTGTCCAGCACATGCCCTCTCCAGACGCCTGGGCAAGGCTCCAGTCCCCTGAGAATCCCATTTGGTCTGGGCTGGTCTCTCGGGGACCTGAGCAGGAGGAAGGCCCGTTCACCAAGGCTTGAGGCCCTCACGCACCAGCTGCCCCCTCAGGCTCTGGGCATGGCTCACAAGAGGCCCCCACACCCCCGGGCCTCAGATCCTGAAGAGCAAAGACTGATCCGCTCCTTGGCTTGTTCCTGTCCTTGGCCGAGCAGGGCTGAGCACACAGTAGGGACCAAGCCGCTGCCTCGTGTTTACTTGCTTATTGTTTACATGGGAAAACAGCTCCAAAAAGCAGATCTGTTCCAGGGGAATTTAACTCAATTTGTAAACGGCGACATCTGCATCCTGTTGGACAACAGAGAAGAAAGAATTAGCATTATTCATTCATTCAGCAAATATTTCTATCGAGCGACTGCCATGTGCTAGACACTCTTCTAGGTGCTGGCAATGCAGAAGGTGACAAAACAGATGCAGCCTTCTTGCAGTATACCTGCTAAAGCAGGTGACAGGAAATGAACCAACTATGTATGTAGAGATGTAACATAATGGGCTAGGTGTTCGAGTTGGGAGGGGGCTGAGAGCAAGAAAAGATGCTATTTAGGGAGGTAAGTACAGATGTGCTGGAGATGAAGGGGCAGGGAATAGTGTTCCGGGTGGGAGGGCTGCAAGTGCAAAGGCCCTGGGGTAGAAGTGGATACTAGCTATATTTGAGATATGGCTCTTGTACAGTTTTCAAACCTTCATGAGAACTTGGCTTTTATTTTGACTATCGTGAAAAGACAGTACCAATCTCCCAGAGCAGTCCCACAAGTTACTAACTGGCATGTGGCACTGACTAGGTGGCCACTCATCAAGACCCAGTGTCCTTGACAGGGTGCAGCTGGGCCTCAGGAGGCCTCTCACCTCACCATAAATTTTGTCTGCGGGTACTTTCACAGGAATGATAAGGACCCCATTTTCCTGGGGCCTCTGTCTCGTTACCTCGCTGAGGTTTATTTCAATGGCAGCATCTCCTGCCCTTCTGGCGCCCCTTCGTGTGAATCCCCGCTCTCACCATAGCTGCAGCTCCTCTGTCTTCTCTGGCCCTTTCTGCTTGCTCCCCCCACCCAGCCTTCCTGCTCCAGCTATCAAAGAAGACTCTGTTCCATCCCCGTTTCTCCCCTGCCCAGGGTTTCGTGTCCTGTTGGGCACAAAGAAGAGGGTTTTGTTTCCTTTTCCACTGACGCTATCTGCTGTTGTCACCCACACTTCAAAGCCCCTTCAGGAGCCCCAGTGCTGGGCCAGAGGCCAAGTGACCTCAGCCTCAGGCGTACTGGGGGATGGGGTGGGGAGGAGGCGGTGGCAGTGGGAGACTGGGCTCCCCATTCCCAGCAGCAGGGGCTGTCTGGTTTTGTGGGCATCGAGCTCCCTGCTTATTGGGTGGGCCAGTCTGCCAGGGTCCCTCGAGACAGCGCTGTCCCTGTGTGGGCTGTGAGGCGCCATGCTGAGGTCTGACACGGTGCTGTCAAGGGTCCAAGTTCAAGTCCCAGCTCCTCACGGAGTCACTGTGTGGCCGTGGATACCTTGCAAAGCATCTCTGGGGGTGAGTTTGTCATGTGGAGAGAGGGGTCGGGGAGGGATTGGAAGACCACATAAAATAACGAACATAAATTCACACCTGCCCTTCCAAATTCTGTCATCGACTAAACCATGCCTCCACCTGATCCATTGAACGCTCATGTTTTCCGTAACGGTCTGTTGAATCTACTCAGCTGTGTGCTCTGCGATCTCCTGAGACCGGAGCCATTGCAAGGAACATTCTAGAAGATCTCA